AGTAAAGTAACATTTTGTTGAAGGTCATTCAAAATCAGTTGCAAGAAACTTAAACTAGATTAAGAGCATGTGGAATGTGTGATAGCACTACTGATGTCAGATGGATCTTGCCTGAAAATAGAAAATACCAGAAAGATGCTCACCTGGGATTTAACAACTGCAAATGTTATGTGTGGATACCAACAAATAATGGATAACACTAAAAGGAATAGTAATTCCAGAACACTTCATTGTGAACATGTGGAATTTACACACAGACCAAGAGGCATTCACTGACACAGAACAATGAACACTGTTCAATATTTTAAAAGTTGTATTTTAGGGTTATACTCTTGCATCATACTTACTCAATCTGTATGAGGAAAAAATTTATCCAAGAATGTGGACTGTATGTGGACAATATGAAAAACAACTCAACATCAGAACTGGAGAAAGACTCATTAACAGCGTACAATATGCAGATGGCCCAATCTTGCTAAAAGTGAAGAGGACTTGAGGCCTTTGCAACATAATAAAACATTATAGCCTTCAGTATGGATTATATTTTAATATAAAGAAAACAAAACAAAAATGACCTCACAACTTGAACAACAGCAACATCATGATAAATTGCAGCTAAATACAATGTATTTCAGTGACCAAAACTGGTAAAGCTTGTAACACTTTAAAGTGTAAAAGTGCAAAGATGCCACCTTGATGGTTGATTCAAGCCATGATCTATTCAGTGACCTCATACATATATATTCAAAAGCTGGACAATGAATAAGGAAGGCCAAAGAACAGATGAACTTCAATTATGGTATTCATACTAAATGTTGAGTGTAATATGGACTTCCTGAGAATGAACAAATCTGTCCTGGATGTACAGCAAAAAAGTTCCTTAAAAGCAAAGATGGTAATATACACTTGGTTATGATAGATGGAGAAAAGACTGAAGTTGTCAACAATTTCATCTTGCTTAGATCTATAATTGGTACCAGCAGGCAGGAAATCAAAAGATGTACTGCACTGGGAAAGTCTGCAGTTAGGAACTTCTCCAAATTACTCAGGAGCAACAATGTCAATTTGAGGACTAAACTGCATCTAATTCAGCCTACTATCTTTTCAATCACCAGCTATGCATCTGAGAGCTGGACAATGAATAGGAGTGACAGAAGAAGAATTGATGCCTTTGAACTTGGTATTGAAGAATACTGAATAGTACATAGACTGTGAGAAGAACAAGCATATGCCTTGGAGAAAGTACAGCCACAGTGTTCCTTTGAGGTCAAGATGACAAAGCTTCATCTCACATACTTTGGGCATGTTTTTAGATGAGCCTTTTCCTTGTAGAGGGGCATCGTGCTTGGAAAGGTGAGGGTCAGCAAAGGAAAGGAAGACTTTCAACCAGGTGGACTGACATAGTGACTGCTGCAATGGGTTTAAGCATTTAAGAGATGATAAGAATGGCAACAGATAGGAAAGGGTTCAGATCAGTTGTTCATAGACTATGAGTCCTATTCACTCAATGACAACTAAACACCAACAACAAATAAGAGGAAGAGCTTCAAAATACAGGAAAGGAAAAGGTACCAGATGGCAAAGTGTATCTAATTAATGACAGATATTAAGATCAAGAACAAATATAGAGGCATTTTCTTCATCACTTCTTTGAACCAGAAACACAATATCAAAAGATGAGTGTTTTAAAAAGTATAACAGTGTATAGGTTAGGCCACGAATCTGGAAAAAAATCATCTGCTTAGAAATGAGCAAAGGGGAGAACTAATACACAAGTTGAAAGCAGTCATCTTTGTATCCTCCAGTATGACATTCCTAAGTGCTTAATGTACTTGGTGATTAAATGGATTGAAAACCCTGGAGTTCTCAAATATGTGTGTGAAATCACCGTAGTTTTTTATTCTTGTCTGAGAGAGAAAGAGAGAGAGGAAGACCCTCCACCAGATGGGCTAACACAAGTGACTGCACCAATGTGCAATGGGCGTGTGTGTGTCAGAGGTTGTGAGGATGACACAGGATAAGGCAGGGTTATAGGGCCACTATAAGTCTTACTTGGCCCGAAGGCACTGAACAATAACAACAGCTCCATTCCTGTTCATTTCTCACTTAGAATTTGGAGCTGAAGCTCAAGCAAGTGAATTTTCAAGAAGGTGATTGTGCTGGCATGCCTGTTAGGAAGCACAGTTATTGAAGGCAATAGATTGGTTAGAAGAGAATTGTACAATTATTAAATGACTCATAAAGAGGTGTGAAACAGTGCTCTATCACTCAAAAAGAGCAAAGCTTCCAAGATCTAGGGAGACTTGGTTCCATATTAAGATAGTAACACCAACCCTAAAAAGTGCACTAAGAAGCAGCAGTTTAAAAAAAAAAATGCAGACGCTGATAAATACTTGTGTAAAATAACGCGACGCCTTAGGCTAGTAAACCCTGTGTCTCCCTTTCAAACCTTCTAGTACATTACTGTAAATCTTCGCAGCATCAAACTGCAAAGAAATAGGATGAGCTAGGAAACTCCAGAAACAATTCTGGGGAAAAAGAATGAGGCGAGAGTACAACAGGGACTTCAACCGGTCTGGTTTCCTATCTGCCCCCATAATCTGAGAAGCTGCGTAACCAAGACTCAGTCAGAACTGTTGTTTTGGCCTCGCCAGGCACTCACCATAGCCTCAGGAGCTCTGTGGAAGGAACCAGGTATCCTTGCCAATGGAAGACACCAACAGTACCGCCGTCAATTGGTTACTGTGGTAACATAGCCCCGCCCACTTCCGGAAATAGGTAACCCCTACCGCCCCGCCTCTTCGTTCTTAGTGGCTAGGAATAATTGCAGTTCCAATCACGCAATCGACAGACCGCCCCTTTACGCCATCGCCTGGGAGAAAGAGACGCTGCATTCCCCTCGCCAACGTCATCACTTCCGTTTGGTTAACTGGTGACCCGGAAGTTTCGGGAAATAAATTGTCCAGTTCCGAATACCGACATATTTTTTTAAAAAAATATATTTATATCTCATTTTCATCCATTGAGGCCTTGCCTACTGTTACTTTTCTGTGTTATTTTTAGCTAAACGCAAAATAGAGCATTACCTTTAGAAAAAAAGGGTTCCGGAAATGAAACTCTCAGTAATAGGAAGTGATGAGTGAGTGAGCCTCCTACTGTCAGGACAGCCTGGGCGGGTCGGTTTTGGAATGGCAGAGGTATACAGGAAGTTAAGACGGTGATACGGAGTCAGGGAACTTGTGGAGGGAAGCTGTCTGATAGAAGTAGAGGAAGAATTTTGGAGGTAAGTCCGAAAACGAATTTGTAGTAACTAAGGGAAGTTATTAGAGTGGAGCAGAGTTCTGGGTTGGAGCTTGGGGTCAGTCGCTTTAGATTTAAAGGAATGTTCTCCTGTTGTGCCAGGAAGACTTGCTCAAACAGAGACAATGTCTGGCATCGATTTCCTGATATAGCCAATGTTAACAGACTTAAAAGTTTCCACAGTGAGCACAGTCAACACTTGTTGCTCGTTCCCTCCACTTGGTATTTGCCAGGGAAAACACTCCTTGTTGCTGCTGTACCTTTTCATAGTGCATATTTCGAGCATGGTTTTCAAAGAGCATTTATCAGAAAAACGGCCTTTGGGTAGCTGCTTTCAGAGAATTAGATTGTAAGTTAAGGGTAGTTTGTAATTGTTAAAGCTAGTCTTGGGAATCTGTACGCCCTCTCTCTTACGGAATACTGACCTTTTTTTCCCCGAGGTTAAATCCTTTAACCTCTAGTGTGTTGTTGTTTTGTGTTGGAGCTCCACCCATAGCTGACCCTCCAGCGGGTTTTCAGTGGCAGTAAATCTAAGTGGATGAAATTGCCCTTCTTTCTTCCTAGGAGAAGCTGGTGGATTCCAGCTGTGTTGAAGCGCAACTTATTTACACTGAGACAACTGAGTATAGATTTTCCTATTTAAGTATAACTTTCCTCCTGAGCTTACAGTGGATCATTGAATCTATACGTGAAGCTAATGCCTACATACATTTCTGAAAGCATATACTAAAGAGAGGCTTTATTTTCTATTTCAAGAGCTACAGGACAGAGCAGAGTTTAGGGATGTTGTACATAGCGTCGCTATGAGTCGCAAGCCACTCGACGGCACATAACAACAACAACAGCACTACTTTAACTTTTTTTTTAACCCATGAAAGTACAAAGTAAGTTATCCTGAGTAATGCTTTGTTGTTTTAAGATGCAGTTGGCTTTGCAGTAGAGCTCCCTGTAACACGAGCTTTTAGTTATGGGTAACTGGGCTAAATAACTTGGACTGTGAATCTTCAATTTATCAACATATTTCATGTCAAAGATCATTCTGGGTTACTCTTCAATCTGAAATATTGGCAACCAACTGTTCTTCACAGTCCATAATAGATAATACCTACTAAATAATATAAGTATTTTCCGAAACTCCTGATATTTAATAACTTTATGTCAATGCTATTTATAGACCTGATAATACTGCTGTGAGAAGGAATTATGGGGAACACTTCCTTACCTAAATATTGTGTGCCAAATGTAAAAGAAATCAGAACAGTGCAGCAGTAAGCATAGGCATGCGTTCAAGGCAATAGTCCAGAACAAGAATTGCATAGCAAAATGGACTGCAGTGGGGCGAGGAGGAGGAAATTGTAGACAGTGAAAGAATTTTTTTTTTTTAAAGAGAAAAGCCAACTGGAGGGTGGGGAGTAGAGAGGAAAATATATAACAATGAATGAATCGACAGTAAACTTTTGTTAAAATCTTAATTAAAAAATTAGAAAAAAGTCCAAAGGGAAAATACTAATAAACTAATAGACATTTTGGCAAAGATATATAAGCAAATAAACTATTCATGTAAGAAAAATATTAACTAATAAACACATTTTTAAAGTTAAAAAAATTATAATAGCATATTTAAGTTGAAGATCCTTAATGAATGTGTTTTATTATCTATTTTCTTAATGATTTCGTATTTTTACATCTCTAGATTATTCAGCAGAAGCCTTGGAGTATATTAACATTGTTAAAGGGAAAAAAATGACTACTCTTAAAAGTTTAGAAATTGAAGGTAAGTGTTCTTCTCTTGAGTATAATTGCTTTCCAGACATAACATTTATGACCATGTGAAGGAATTAACTTTATAGGTAAATAAGTTTACAGCTCTTTAAAATTATTCATCTTTCCTATCTCTTCATGATTGTTTTGTAGTATAGAGTTTGTTTCAGAACTTCCAATATACAAGTGTTAACATCATTAGATAGTATTTGTTAGAAGACTACCCGCTCTTATTTTTTTTTTAATGCATTTTCTTACTGTGCTAGTGGTTTGTTCCAGCATAACAGACTACCCACTCCTTTTTTTTTTTGGTTTGTTTTAATTTCACCAGGATTGTCAGGCTAGAAACCATTCAGAGTGCTCACGGATCGAACACTGAATGTAGAAATAGCCACTTCCTCTTTGCCCCAATGCCTTAGGTACAGCAGAGTGGCCACACCTGTGGTGCGGACAAGCCCAGGGCACAGACTTCCCACTCTTAAATATTTCATGTAAAATCAAAATTACACTGTTACATTCTCCATCCTCTAGAAGATTAAAATTTTTAAAAATCAGTAAGTGTATTTATACATCTTTTTAAAAATATTTATATATATGTGGAAACAACAAAACTACTTCATTTGAACCCTTTCCAATGGTGGTGATGGTATCTGACATCAAGTCAGAACCACCTCATAGCTGACCCCTCCATTGGTTTTTCAGAGGCTATAAATTGCATGAGAGGAGACTGATCATCTCGCTTCTGCTTAATAATGGTGGATTCAAAGCACCTGCTTTTGGGTGACAGCACAACTCCTTACCCACTAGACCACCAAATCTTTCAATGAGGCAGAGTAGAGCTATCAGGTGTCTGAGACTGTAAATGTTTACAAGAGTAGACTGTTACCTTTTGCTAATAAGGATTGGCTAGTGTATTTGAACAGCTGAACTTTGGTTAGCATCCCAACACTTAATCTACTATACCACCGACTTTCCTTGTACAAGCTATTATCAGGTACTGTAGTCTTTCTTGCTAAATATAGTCATTACTCTTTAGCCTATTATCAGGTACTGTAGTCTTTCTTGCTAAATATAGTCATTACTCTTTAGCCTTGTCTTATTTGTTCTCTCTATAATATTAATCAGGAGCTCTGGTGGCCTGGAGTGGCATCCACTACCTAAACAACATGCCTCCAGAAACTCTGAACTTTGATAAATGTCAATAGTTATAGAAAGGCTTCGGGCCTTTTGTTCGTAGAGTTGCTATGAGTCGTGCTCAAAGACAACAGCTGGTAGCCTAGTGGGTAAAAAGAGTTGCACTGCCAACATAAAGCCTTGAGGTTCGAATCTATCAGTGGCTTCATAGGAGAAAGATGGAATTAATACTGGGAACATTACCATCCTTTTCAAATACTTTGTTTTCATGGTTTCCATGACAGTCGTTCTTACTAATTTGGGGCTGTTTTCAGCAGTTTTCATCTTCTCACTGTCCAGTGCAATAATCACATGTTACTATTTTAATTTAATGTTATTTAAAAATTTGTAGTTCCTCATGCTCACCGGGCACATTTTAAGTGTTCGGTAGTTACAGTGTGCCCAGCATTTACTATATTGATGCAGATAGGCAAACTGAACAAAGGTTTCTTTGACCGCATTCATTTTGCTATACTGTCTCTCTGTTGTTATGTGCCATCAAGTGGCCTGCGACTCATAGTGACCCTATGTACAACAGCCCTAAACCCTGCTCTGTCCTGTGCCAATCTCACTGTCTCTGACATGCCTACCCCAGTTACCCTAGTCACTGAATCAGTTCACCTCATAGAGGGTCTTCCTCTCCTGCGCTGTTCCTCCACCCTCCCAAGCATGACATCCTTCTCCAAGACTGATCCCTCCTTGCAACATGTCCAGAGTATGTCAAACAAAGCTTCAGAATCCTTGCCTTCAAGGAGCAGCCTAGTTTAACCCTCTCCAGGGTGAACCTGTTCATTTTCTTAGCAGTCTTTGGTATATTCAGTACTCTTCTCCAGCACCACGGCTCAAAGGCATCAATTTTCCTTCTATCCTCCCTAGTCATTGTCCAGCTCCCTGATGCATAGCAAATGACTGCAAAGACCATGGCCTGTATCAGGCGCACCTTAGTCTCCATCCAGAGTGTCACCATTACTTTTCAGTACTTTAGAGAGGTCCCTAACAGCAGACTTTACCATCGCAATACATCTTATAATTTCCTGGCTGCTAGTGTGAAGAGTGTTGACTATGGAGCCAATTTAGGTTTTTATTTTGTTTACTTCAGCCTCCCCTCCTTCAGTTTTATCCTTTAAATATAAATGTTTTTCAGCCCCCCATTTTTTTACATTTTCATTTTATACTAGTTTGCTTACAAATTTCATAGAATACAATCATTCCGATTGATTATATTTTATAAAATTAAACAAACAATGTTGAACTATACCCACCATTGCCCTGTCTTTCCAGATCCACCGAATCTTTTCCATTTCCTTACCGACCCCTCCCTGTATCCAGCAAATTGTGTGATCCTATGATTGATTCCCCCTGCCCATTCTCACCTCTCTGCTCCTACCCTTCCACGTTTAGATCCTCATACACGTTTTACTGGTTATCTTTTTATTTCTGCAATAACAGTCCCATATAGTATTTTTCCTCAGCATTATATTCCAGTCCCTCTGAAGTTATGTAGTAATTTTCAAAATCATTCTCTTGAGTGCTGCATAGTATTTCATTGTGTAAATGTACTGCAGTATCTCAATCCCTGCAATTGTGATTGGCAGCCCACCTTTTTTTTTTCCTCTTCAGTGCTTTGTGTCTTTTTTCAGGGCTTCACTAATTATATGTGTAAATACTATCCAAAACCCTCTACAGCCTAGAACCCTTTCCCTGTGACCCAGACTTTCACCGCCTACCTCTTATTGGCTGTCTTCACTTAGACATAGACAACAGTCTTAAGGCATCTTAAGTGAACTTGTCCTGACCCACTTTTTCAGCAGAGTGAGTTCCAAACACTGATGCCATCTTTGACTGAAGCCAGTAAGAGGTGGGAAATAATTTTGAGAAGCCAAGTTTCTCAAAACTGATCTCTGTAGCACAACTCAAAGGCAATTGACATTTGCTTAGGAAGCAAGGAAGAAAAGTTCATGCCAATAAATATTCCTTTCTGTTTAATTTACATTCCACATAAATTTAGCTGGATATAGTATCATTTCATAAGACACCAGCGAATGCTTTTAGTTTATTAGAGTAAGCAAACTAGACACCATAATGGAATAGATTAATGGAAAATAAGAATAATTGAATGATAACTAGAGTGAAAGCAAGTAGCATAGTTACTTTGCAAATAAGCAGGAAAAAATATGAAATTATTAGAGATTCAAGGTTATCTCTAGGCCTCTGAAATTATTTGAATTGCTTGTTATTACTTGTTTGTAATGAAGATTAATTGCTACAGAGCTCTCTCATATACATTATTTTACTTGATCTTAATTATAAGGAAGATAATTCTGCCTTTAATCTTATGCACATTTAATATAATGTTAACTATAATTTTTGTGAACAAATGGTATTTGTATCGTGGACCATAAGTAAAGGTATAATTGTGGCTGACATCTGTCAGTTGACTACATTTCCTTTAACTGTCTCAAAAGAAATGCAAGCTGTTGTTTGATCAATAGCCACAGAATTTCTTCTCAGGACATTTGCATAATACTGTCATCACAGAAGGCCTGGATCATTGGTGCAAGTGCTATTTCTACATTAAATAACTCTAAAGAAGTATAATGCAAAGCTTTTCTTAGGAGTAATATTAATATTAAAGGTATTTAAGTTATATAGTTAGTGTAGGGGAAGCAGACTAAAAAGTGACGTCTAACACCTTTAAGTACTTACATATATGTAATTCCATTTTTCTTCTTACGTGCTGAATTATCATAGAAACCTTATGTACAAAAGCTCTGAAGCCTGCCCTATCCTGAGCCAGTCTCACTGACTCTGACCCCCATTGCCCAGTTACTGTATCAATCCATCTCATCCGGGGTCTTCCTCTTCTGTGCTGTCCCTCCACCCTTCAAAGCATGATGTCCTCCAAGGACCAGTCTCTCCTGGCCATGTGTCCAAAGTATATAAGACAGAGCTGCAAAATCCTAGCCTCCAAGGAGAAACTTGGTTTCACTCTCTGTGAGACAGACTTATTACTGCATCTGTTTGGTTGGTTGGTTGGTTTGGGGGTTTTTATTGATTTACTTTTTTTTTTAATTTTATACTAGTTTATTTACAAAATTCGAATACTTTGTTTTCAAGAACAGATTCTTTCAATTTCCCTCATCCCCCACCCATCAAAGTGTACAACCCAATGATTAATCCCCCCTGCACATCCTCATCCCTCTGCTTCCAGCCTCTCCCACCCTTCTTGGATCTTTAAGCTCATTCAACAGTAATGGTTTTATACAATATTTATCCTTGTGGGACTGAGTTAGTTCACACAGCATAATGCTCTCCTGGCCCTCCCAAGTTAGGTAATAATTTACAAAATCATCTCTCCTGTGCGCAGCATAGGATTACATTGTGTGAATGTCCCATAATTTCTCAATCCATTCATTTGTGATTGAACATTTGGGCTGTTTCCATGTTCTTGCAATAGTGAGTAATGCTGCTGTGAACATTAGTGTACAAATCTCTCCATTTGTGCTTCGGTTCGCATTTTCTCAGGGTATATTCCAAGTAGTGGAATAGCTAGGTCATATGGAAATTATTAGTGCATCTTGATTGTATGTTTGGTCAATTTCAGGCTGCAAAAATTAGTAGAAATCTTCAGGTTCTTAATCTTTGTCTTTGTAATTAGTGTGTAAATTTGAATAATAGTCATATTAACAAGTCTTCCTTATATGCATGTCTGACAGCTTTGTACTTCAGAATTGATCTTGAAATGTTCTTTCTGATAACCAATCATTCCTCTTCAAATTGCCATTACCGGCATATAGACTGTGTGATTATCCAGTTCAAAATGGCCAATAGGAAGGAATC